TTCCTGTACTAGTTCTGAAGGCAAAAGGGGGTCCAACCTGGTAGCAAGGTGTAGCTAATAAAGTTGCTGGTGAGTGTATAACATTCACAAATAATGTTTCTTGTTCTGCACAAGTTTTGAATTTAAGGGGAACTAATTAGATTGGACTCAGTTGTATTTATACTTTGCCTTTTCAATTTACATGAAAGATTTAGGTTTTTAATGAAACATGTTTAACTTTAATTGTTGAAATACAAGTTCAAACTTTTCGCATATTCTTTTCACCTGTTGATCATACACATAGGTCAACAAACTTTTTGATATAAAAGTGGAAAAATTTAGCAACAAGACACTACAGTAGCCTACATAAAGAAGAAAAACAAAGAAACAAGAAAACATGAAATACTGTTTGTCCATAACTAATTTTTCTTTACATAAAATAAAGTGATAAAAAATGAGCTTTTCCATAGCTTCTCTTTTCTTTTCAGCTCCAGACAACAAAACAAACAAACAAACAAAAAAAAAAAAAAACAGTTCATTGTTCAAATGACTTCAGGTTAGCATTTCTCTTCATGTGTGGATCACGTTGAACTATTTTCACCAACAATTCCGAATTGATAAGTTATAGGAGTGTTGAATGGCTGATATGAGGCTAATTTACAGCAGTTCCTAATGTTTACCATCAAACATAATAAATAACAGAGTAAAAAATAAAGGATCTCAGTGTCGTCAGGCCACCGCAGGATGTTTCTCAGTCGTTATCATAGATGCAGTCTGAAACAAAAGTAAAAGTTAAAACGCATGTTTTTTCCCAATTGAGCAAAATTTTATTCAGGAAATTACTAAGATCTATTTAAAGCAATAAAACTGATATTTATTTGATATAACTGGAGGTCTGTGCAAAGACGTGAAAAAAGTTCATGTGTTTAAATAATACATCATTTATAATGGTTAATTGTGAATAGACCAAGATAACAAAACAAAACAAAACAAAACAAACAAAACAAAACAAAACAAAAAAGTAAAAAAAGGCCACTAGGTAGGAGTTAATAAGTTTGTAACTTTATTTCATAATAACAAGTCATTTTTATAATTTCATATTTGAACCTTTGCACAGAACTCCACTCAAAAAGATCTCTTCAACTTACCATCTCCTCCAATGTCATCGTAGATTTCTCCATCACTGTAAACAGAAGAAAAGAATTAGTGTAGTTATTCTTTAATACCTCACTAACACATTGCACGGTATGTGACTTTTACTTACTCAACAACATGGCTGGTTGAAACATAACCAACTGTAAAAAAAAAAAATAAAGATTTTAGCGTTAAGACAGGGATGATACAAATATAGTGTGACGGCCCTGCTGCTTAGTTAATTGCAGCCAGCTGCCACCAGTTTCCTTAATTGTGCTTCCTCACAGGTCTTCCTTAGGRGGCGTGGCCTGTGCTCCTTTTAAGCGCACACCTGGAGAGCAACAAGCAGAGCTGAATGTGGTGCTGTACTCAGAGCTGAATGCAGAGCTGCACGGTGAGCTGTGCTGAGCGCTGTGTGGCCAGAGCTGAGCTGTGTGGAGCTGCAGACTGAGCTGAGGAGAGCTGTGTGGCTGGTGACGGCTCTGAGGTTCAACRCTCTGTGGCTTATGTGGATTTTTCATGCTGCACCTATCCTGACGGTCTGCTGCTGCTACTCTCATCCGGCGTGCCTCACGGGAGAGAGGACACTGAAGCGCGAACGCAGAGGTGCACGGAGGACACGACGGTGGTCGAGGGAACCAGACCACAGACTTGCGCATAACAGGTGGAACGTAAACCTGGACCACAGACTTCAGAGGGTCCAGCTTGGTGAGAGATGTCCGGTGCATTCGGGAGCTACGGAGCTCCAAACCGGGCCAACAAACTCACCTAATCCTAGACAAAAACTTTAATAAATACCTTTTTAAGGTTTTAAACTGATTCCACCGTGTCGTGTCTTCACATATGTTATGGCTTTTGAGCCGGGTCGTAACAATAGGATAATAATGCCATCTTTTATTTCCCATGCATGAAACCACTGATAATTCATGATCATTAGCCGACACAAGGCAGTAAATGCTCACATTTGCCGTCCTCATTGCGACAGATCAGTTTGTTATCCTGCGCTCTGACAATGACGTCAAGCTTCTCTCCAGCTTTAACCGGCAGCTCCTTCCCGCTCCACTTCTTATTGTTGAGACTGGAAATGATGTTCACCTGGTACAGAACATGGATCTCCCCTTCATACTTTAAAAACAAACAAACAAACATAAATAAATAAATAAATAAATAAAAGCATTCTCTTAACACATCCCATCAGTCTGCTGTGGTAAAAAGCCAATTTATCAACAAAAACACAAGAGGGGAACGAACCTTGAACTTTTTCCTGAAGTCCTTCTCCTCTTTCTCAAACTTCTTCTGCTTCTTCAGATCCATTTCCTCTGCTTTGCTTTTGGCTTTCATGCCTGGGAGGCTTTCCATACAAACACATAAAGTTAGCGGACAAATTACTAAAAAGCTGAAATGAGAAATTTGGGACACATTTAAAAAAAAAAAAACGTTTTGTAGCACTGATGTAGTTTTACCTGCTAAGTGGGGGAAGGGGAGGTGCATTTTGACCGTCAACATCATCATATATTTCTTCATCAATCGCTGCGCCTGGCTTGTCTGACAAAATATAATAGAATTTATATATTAGTTAGAAAACTTTTAACTCTTTTAACTTTTATACACAGGCTCGAACCGTAGCATGTACCCCCACAACGTTTACATCAAAATGACCATTTTGGAAAGGAGATGTGTGCTATTACTCAACTTTTCAATTCAAATTACTATTGTGGAGAAATCTTTAAAAAAGGCATCATGTCCTAATGGTTTAAAACAAATAAAGTTAGTGTTACCTGAATTCCCATCTGCTGTAAACTGGCTGGGTGGAGGAACTCTGGAACAACAACAATAAGTTAGAAAATCCAGTTGGCACAACGTTACCAATGATTCATTAAATATGTTAACATTATCTTCAACAATCAAGTTCCTGAATTAGAGTTAGTATTCTTATTTTTTGTACCATGCAGTTATTAATCCATGCAACTTATTTTTGAGAGTTAGTAAACATGCACAACATCATCATTAGAGTTCAGCCTTTAAGACTCCAATCATCAAAGAGGAAGTTAATTCTCGAGTCTGATTAGTTCATTTTATACTGATCTGGGAAGAAGTCATTAAAATGTCTTTTTGTTTATGGCTGAAAATATTAGAGATTAACAACAGCGGAGAGAAGATCTTTTGGCCAGTCTTACTAAAATGAGTGTATTTTACTCTTTAGAGCTGGTAAAAAGTCTGTTTCGGTCGAACATCCGCAGGAAGCTTTGGGGCCTCACAAGCAAGGACTTGGACTCACTGGAACTGGAAAGYCACGCAAGAATGAAAAGATCGAAGGTTTCTATGTTGTTTTATTTCTGTCAATGTTTTTGAACATGCCCTTCCTTTGCAAGTGTTTCTTTTTTAAATTAAAGCATTCAAACATTCAATCATTCAGTGTGTACCTGACATCCAGATTTGGATTGTCCACATCATCATATATTTCCCCATCTTCTCCTGGGAGTGGGGGAAGGACAACTGTGGGCAAATGAATTGTAATAAGAGAGAATTCAAAACAAAAATATGATTTGATAGCAAAGTGAGATGTATTTACCTGATGGCCCTTTGGTCCCACTGGAGAAAAAGAGCAATTTAAATATAAACATAAAGAAAGTAACAGTGAAAGTAACAAATAAAAAGTTGTAAAATAGGATTTCTGGCACCTGTTGTCAGATGAGACCACATCGATGTCGTCATAAACCTCCGGATCGTACGCCTGCTGAGCTGATTGGTTCTTCAGGGAGTTGAAATCGATTTCCACTGAGGTTGTTTTAACATATCCAACTGTTCAGAAAATAAAAAAAGTTTAGATTATTGCCACAAACTTTTTCTTTAATGAATCATTTTAAAGTCAAAACAGCAGTTAATCAAAACAAAGTCGTAGAAGAAAAATTGTACACAAAAACATTTTTACCAACAAGTGATTTTTAAATATACTTTATATATTTGAATTCATTTGCAAACATACTTGATCCATCTTGGGATCTCGCCAACCATCTCCCCTCTGGATTCCCCTGAACACGGATTATATCCAGCTGATCTCCCTGCTTTACAGCCAGATCAGATTTCCCTCCTTTGTWGTCTGAGAGAGCCTTTCCTTTCTGAATGACCACCAGAGGTCCGGACAGCTAAAAGCCACAACCACACACAAAGTTAATACACTTCAATTAGCTCATTTTTTTTCTAATTCCAGGCAGAGAAGTTTGATTTCTGGTGCTCTCACTCACTTTGAACTTCTTCCTGGCGTCTTGTTCCTTCTTCTCTCGTTCTTTCTGCTCTTTCTTCGCAGCTTCCTGTCGCTTTTTCTCCTCTTTGTCGTCTTTCTTCTTTTCTTGGCTTTTCTCAGCTTCGTCATTCTTTTCCCTTTTGGGAATCACAAGCAATATGCAAAAGAAAAAAAAAACGTGTTAGACAACTGATTGTAAAATAAATATGAAAAGAACCCAGAGAGTATTGCTGCTCACCATCGCTCATCTAGATCCTCGTACATGTCTCCTTCCTCGTCGTCATCGATTTCATCCTGTAAGCAAAAYGTGAGCTAGCATCAGGACATAAAACATATTTTCTGTGTTTGATTGTACATGATCTTCATTTCCAGGAAAACTGAAAAGATTTTAAGAATCATGTTTTTTTTCCACTAAAATTCTTTATTTTGATCACACAACTTAAGGAGGAGTCATTCCCGTTTAATATAAATATTTAACTGTCTGGAAATGGAGAATATCATTCTGCTCTAGTATCTATGAAGATAAATATCAGACTGACTTTATCATTTTATTCAAACGTGAAACTTTCACTGCATTCTGCAACACTATTTTTACATGTGGGTCTTATTGTGGCTCTTAATGTGTGWCTAATTCAACATCTCTCACCTTTGGAGGTTTCTGACTTGGGTGAGCTGTAGAACAGAGAAAAAATGTTACACGTCAGTTTGATGTCTGTGAATAAATAAAGAGAGCTGCAAAAACATTACACTTATAACTTCAGGCTGTCGTTACAACAATTTACAGAAAGAGACTTTGAGATAGATTTGAGAAAATCAATGTATAACTTAACTTTGATGTTTCCTTTTACATTAAAATCTGAACGTGATACAAAGTTCATAGCTGTCTTATGTTTAYCTGTTTTTCTGGACTTAATATTTTAATAGACTCATGACTCGTTACTGAACCTGAGGGCAGAGGAGGAGGAGCCGGTCCATCAACATCATCGTAAACCTCTTCCTGGTGCCTGAGGAGCACAGTTTGGGTTTAGCTCTGTTAGTTTCACCTTAAAATTATAAAGTACAACGTGTGTATGTGTGTGTGTATGTGTGTGTGTGTGTGTGTGTGTGTGTGTGTGTGTGTGTGTGTGTGTGTGTGTGTGTGTGTGT